CGACTAAGACCGACCGGAGGGCGGCGAAGAGACATGCCCGCCTGGGCAAATGCTGAACGGAGGCCCTACAGATTGTCAAGGTACGCAACCCCTCTTAAAAAGGACGGTATGGCAACTTGACCACGTCTTCTCGGTTAACGCTCCCTCATTCTCCCATATTACCAGCATCTTTTGACTTATGCTTACTCTTTCTCCTCACCCTTTTTCTCATCCGCCACATTGTCCTACTCTGGGTATGCAGGTCATCCAGCTCCCCCACCAGGTCTTAAATAAGACCTGGATCAGACAGCTTAAAGGGCTATCAACATGAATTGAAAAGCGCAAAATTGCGCTCAGCTTGGTCAAACGTGTTTAATGTGAAGTTAAACTATGCTGCTGGTTGAAGAAAAAGCAGAACTGGGGGTTCGAGTTTTGCGTGCACTGAGAATCTACCAACCTGATTGGGCATTCTGTGTCACAGATTGACCTCCAAGCACCAGCGACCACCAGCGGGGAATCCCGTGTCTTCAGCCGAGCACAGCACAACCCTACCTGGTCACTACCGTAGAGCTTCACAAGACCTTAGATCGGTGTTCTTGTCGGACAATTTGCCCACTTCAGACCCACCGGGCACGCGAATACCCGTTTCAGTCCATCTCGCTTGGTTACCTCACGATTGCGGGATCTCCTTTCGAGAAATCTTGAAATGTCATCAAGTGCCGCGCATGGTATTGTATCCAGCTATTCCTGGGTGCCATTTGTCCAAGGAAATGCTCAGGTGCACATGATGACCGTTATAAGAAGGGTAAATCCCCCATCTGCCTTCCGGATTGATCCTGCATGTCCAGGCATTCGCTCGTTAGTTTGAGGCCCTCAATTCAAACTGGGCCGATTGGGACGAAACCATACGCGTGGGCATAGGCAGCGAGCGGTGCGCGCGGCCCGTGGGGCCGCGCAGCTGGTCAATGGGTGTAGGCACACAGGTAACAGACGAGCTTACGGGACATAAAGTTACACGTCTAAGCAGTCCAGCGGAGACTACTTGGGAGTAATCGAGCCACCCAAGCAGAAACCGTTGAATGGGCAGCATGAACTGATCCACCCGCTTTCCGAGCGGCGTGCTCCTTTAAAACTCTAAGAAGAACCGTCCACCTTCGTTGCACGACAGAGTGAAACACAGGAATGGTTGAGGTCTGAGACAACCTGCTTTACTGCTGGTCAAAACGCCGTGGGATATTCCCTCGCCCCGAGCGGCGCAATGTCAACAGAACTACAGGAAACATGATATGCCCTTGTTTCGGGTCGTATTGCCAACCGGACTCCATGCAGCCAGTCCATACATATTGCCGCAATGAGCAGAACCGCCCTTTAGTTGAAGCCGCGGTCCAGAACCGACATCAACCTCACAGGCCAGCGCCCTCTCATTCTAATCGAGGTTCCTTGCATTGGTAACTGTATCTTTGACAGCATCGAACAGGATCAGAAGCTTGAGGTCACTTGGACGTATACGTACTGCGGTGCTGTCGATCAGAATGATTAGAGTTGTCATATCGGGATGTGGCCAACCCGGCATTCCCCTGCGAAGGGGAACTGAAGGTGGCCACGGCAAAAGTTGATGCTCAAGGGAATTTCGTAATCTTCAATTTGCCCAGCTGCTTGCCCCAGGGACCGATAGGATACAACATATCTCGAAGACAACGTCTCGCCTGACATGAAAATGACTGACCTGCAGCGCAGCGACGAGACATTACCCTGAGAAAGACGCCGGCAGTTCACTGTTACCTTCTTCTTTCTATGAGGGTTCCGGAATCCAGACCTGGAACCTGCCCAGCATCCTATCTCCGCTTACGCCATCCGAAGACATCTTAGTTACGTATGCCCCTACTATGCTCTCAGTCCCCTCGGTCGGTAAGGGATGCATCTTGCGGTCGTCCATGAATATGCCTCTGGCTGAGTCGCCGTCTCCCCACCCTTTCTTCCGCGCGTGGAGTACAGCCTCGGCAACCTCAAACAGTGCCGCCGGCAGATCCGGGAAGTGATTTGTCCTTACTTCGATCACGCGAATGAATGATCCCGGATGAAAATAAGACCAAGAGACGAGCAGGAGCCGAATCATCTACGCGGGTTGAGAATAATTTCGGAACAAGTCCGGTCGATACCAGAAAAATCATGTATCCAATGCGTTCTGTCGAGAACATCTCTTACGGGTTTTAGTACGAGAGTATCAATGGGTCCTCGTATGGATGCCGTAAGAGGGTGAAAAACAGAACTTAGATAGCCTGGATTGTGTTACTGGTTCATTTGCTTGCACCAAGGGTTCTCCTTTATCGCATTTATCGACGAATTATCCGTCTTCTGATAGCTGGAAAACTCAAGCCAGGATTCCAGCCCCAGTCGTTCCGGGTCGCGTGCAGGCTTATTAACCTAATCGCACAAGGTTTGACCACTTCCCAGGTCGATTACCTTATATTGCCATACGATCGTCAAGGTTACACTCAGCTCCTGTCCATGCCTAGAACCATGGTCTCGACGTTAGCGCCCATTTGGAGCTCGTGTGAAAGCAGTCCCAGGTCATTGACCTGCGAATGAGTCCCGTCCCATAGCCTTCCAAAACAGCTGCTGTTGCTCTTACAGAGGTGCCGATCCGTAGTATCCAGTTTTGAAACTAGATTTGGGTAAGTTCTATCTATAATGCGCTACAGTGCAATGTCCTACGAGACTTTGAGCAGACGGAGAGCCATGATAAGCTGGATGAAAGAACAGTTTGAATAATGACTAGGAAATTAGGTATAGTCCATTCGGAAACCTTTTGTGTGCAAAGGTTTGTGTCAAACCGAAGCAGACTCGAATAGTTCCATCTACACAGCTACGGTTCGAATAGGTTCTGCACAAGTCCAGCAGAAAATATAATAAAATCATCAAGGGCCTGTTCTGCATGGCAAGAAAGAGCAAGGTGATTGTTTATACCAAGCCTTCTCGGAGATGATCTTTATTGATACTCACGCTTGTGCCGTGTACTGGGAAAGTACCGTGCACGAACTGCCGCAAACGTAGGACTGCGTGTTCATAATCCAAAGAGACCGACCAACGACGAAAGGTCTAATTGAATGAACTTGTGATCTTTTGGATGGACTAGTCGAGCTACTTCGTGACGGGAACCAGACAGGGAGATCGGATCTTAACAGCCGCCTCAGAAGCAACAAATGTTTAAGTACTGCATATCAAGGCATTCGGAAGAAACCAAGCCTAGGCAAGGATGCGAATCGACCAATGAGCCATACAGAGCTGCAACACGTTGACTTCAACGGAATATTATAAGCCACCCGTGGAAATTCAGAAAAGAAATACTCTCACCTGGAGGTAACAACAGAGATACTTCAGTTGGTATCCTCATATCGAATCATGCAAAAGTCCAAATGAAGGCATATCTACTTGACACCCGCTGTGTATGATGCTGCAAGTGGACATTGCCAATAATACAGAATTCACTGTGCTCCTCCAGGTTGGCTCTCTGAGCCTACACCTACAGGGACAGCCAGGTCAGCGTTGTTGTCACGACATTGAATCTCTCATCCAAACACAAGATAGTCGTGGCCTTAATGGTGCTGCTTTCTCACTCAACCACAGTGTTCGGAACCTTCCTTCTCCTTGCCGGAATGAGACCTCGGCAATGAACCATTACGTGAATTATCGGTCAAAGTTCAGGACTTGGGATCATGTCAGCCCTGATGCTTCCATGGCCACGTCTCTAAACTTCTACAAAGCGTGTCTGACTTGAATGGCGGCGAAGAATCAGCCTCCCTCCAGTGGAAAGTCTCCTCAGCCGATGATCCACTCATGGATTGCTGAGACGACCACGATCCAATATGTGCTGCGGGGGCGCCTCAGTCTGCTGTCCACTTTCTGAAGGAGCGCTTCGCCTACAATAACTCAGGCGGCTAATTATCGACATGTAGTAATTCCATTTCGTCCCCATAGCAGAGAATCCTGGATATAGCTGACATAAGGTCAATGTAAGATGGAAGAAGAAGTAAGAGAATAAATAAATAAATAAAAAAGCAGTAGATGTGTGAATCCCAGGCCCGGGAGAAATAGTCCGTCAGCAGAGCTACTAGGGCGTTTGATTCGTAGCAGACAAATGGTAGAAGGCTGGAGGCTAGTCTGTACCCAGGGGCCAGGTATATAGGCTGTCTGCGGAAGAGAACAAACGCTCGGAAGCAGAAGAACTTGAGCGCCAAGCGCAGATCCACGCGATAAAGGTCGCTAAGCAGAGATCAGCGGCCCAGGGGCTGGAGTGGCTGTAGTTCAATAGCTCATCAATCCTTCTGGGCCCTCGCACCCCCAATTGATGTCCCACCCGAGCTTACAAACTATTACGGCCATTGATGACACGGATCCGGTCCAAGGATCAGAAGCGACTATGAATGGCAACTCACATCTTTATTATTCTGTTACTTAGAAGGGCATATTTCGCGATCACTGATTTACTCCAGTAAAATATTCTGATGCTACCCTGACACACTAGCACCCACCTGTGGGCCTAATTACCCAATTGTAAAGCACGTGGTCATGATTGAAGACTCAACTACCTACATGTCCTGGATGACCCTCCAAAAGGGGCAAGCAAAACAGGACCATAGAAGCGATATCCTCCGAGCTTACTTACATGCATGCCCAATTCTGAAGCTAATTGTACCCTCTCAACAATGGTGACCGACAAAGGAAACAGCGGGTGCGGGCTTTGTCTGGCCAGGGGGGCCGGTCCCCTTTGGAGACGTCAAACTACAACTGGACCATGAGCGGTAACATTATCCCTTGCATGCCGCGGGACCAAAGCGCCGGAATGTTCTGCATTATTATAACATAGCATCCTTGAAGTATGTTTGCAAACACAGGCACAATTTTATCTCATATATAATAGAGCTCCCCTAATATGTGAGGCGAATTTCAGCGAGCATTTTCCTCCTTTTTCTTGCATTACAAGTTCTTGCATCACATTTGGCAGCGCCTTTGACCCACACATGGCAAAAGTTCAAAGTCTGGGATCACCGTTTGAAAACGCCAACCAAGGCGAAGAAGAAGGGTCTAGACAAACTTGACGCTACACAGGAGGCATCAGAGTCTGTAGCTTCGGTAGGTGATTCATCATCAGAGAGCACTATCTTTGACCCCTGCTTTAACTCAGACTCTGGAACAAAGGTCAACTTTTGGTCCTCTGCTAATTTGGTTCCTCCCAAAGGACACCATTGCCGAGACAAAGGTTGTGGCAGATCCCACCCGCCAGCTCTCTTCCGGTATCTCAGCATTTCGGCCAGTGAGATCAGAAGAGAGTTTCCACACTCCTGAGCGCCAAATTAAAGCCTTTGACTGCAAGACGTGCAAGACAAGCTAGAAATGCCAGGCGCACAATATGGAAAGTCCAGAGCCCCTGAACCGATCTGTCTGGCAGTCAATCGGGAACAGACATCTCCGTTAATGCACAGAGCATTGAGGCATGGCAAACTCCCAACTCATAGGCTCATGTCCAGGGTCAAGCAAAAGCTCCAATTTGGAGGCAGCCGAAGAAGTAGGAAACGAGTTATGGCATCTGAATGCTCCGTGAGACACAAGTCGTCTACAACGAAGACGACTAACTGGTGGGATATGTGAGCTGCAGTTCCCGGCTTTTATCACAGTTAATATCATACGGATCCCTACAGATATTTTTTATGCCATGAAACCCACTCTTTCTAGAAGTATCCCTAAAAAGCGTATGTGACATGAGCTAAGGCGGTATATATGTCTTTTGCGCCCGTCAACTCCCCTGAAATTGTCTCCTTCATGGACTCCGTTTATCAGACGAAGAGTTGTTGCAGCGTGATTCGGCTCCTGGCTCGATATCGACAGGCGGAAATTAGGCAATAGAAATTGAACAGGTTACCAAGACAATACCTTGCAAGTTGCGCCCATTGGTAACACGAACCTCATCCAAGGATCAACACCAGGACATCGCATTCTCCGCGGGGACGTCAACCGCGGTCGGACATGAGTACAAAGGTGGGTACTTAAATTAAAGTGGACTTGTCCTTGTCGTGCTATCTAATCACAGTCCAGAATATTGCCCAGGTGAATGCAACTTTTAAGGCCTCTTCGAGGGATCATCAACATAGATACCATGCTGAAAAAGTGTCCCATCGACACTGACACAGCCTGGGGTAGATTATTAAATTTTAGATTTCCAGCGCCTGTCATCTCAGAGCTGCCACAATCCGGGGCCACCCAGAGTAATGGGGGGGCGCACGTGATGAAAGGCTGAGGGTGACGGTCTTCACCCCTTTGAGATGAAATATTAGTTGCTCGTCATGACATGGAGGACAACGGCCACTTACCTGCCAGGGGTCAACTTGGGAGAAGGAACATGGGCAGTAGCCCGGTAATGGTGCTGCTGGCTTTCTAACAACATGAAGGTTGTATCGCAAGACGACTTTGACCAGACATCAACGGCAGTCCCATTGCCCGGAAACCGTATCATCCTCGCCCTCAATATATGAGGTATCCGTTCACCCGTATGCTATGCAAGTTGCGGTTCTCATTCCAACTGAACAGTATCTTTCTACTTATCAGGCTTCATACCCTCATAAAGCATCCCCAACACATGAATATCATGTCCATCAAAGCCAGTGCGGAACGCCAGTGCTCGTACAAGATCAAGTCCCGATTGTGATGCATCCCATAATCGTCGCATCAACAGTCGACATACAGCGTGCTCAACAATACTGCATATTGCTAATACAGCTACAGCGGCGACATAACTATGTGTACCACCGATATATACCTCAAGGGTTTTAGCAACCCTATTATGGTCTTTCGGTGGCAAACTGCCCTTCGCGTATAGTCATCGTCGCTCAAGATTATCCTTAGCAACTCGTCTCATCGTGCCCCCTTTTACTATGTGCTGTGGACGGGGACTGCTATCTTCCCCTACTATAACCGTCCTGTGAAGAGATTCCGTGTTTGTGCCACCTTTTGAACCCTTCCTGTGGTGAGGGCAAGGAAGGGATGGACTAACTAGCGATGCAATATGCGTACGTTACCAAGCGGACAGACGCGCGTCTCGATGTGCAAAGATATGAAGCCATTTAGCTCAATGGATGGGAACTTGAAGTCCATCAAACAGTCACGGTGAGAATTGAGCGGATACAAATCTGGCCAGCGGTCTGAACAAGTGGGCTTGTCGGTGCTGGTAGTAAGCACTTGTCAGGGCTTAACCATGGGCGAGCCCCGCTCGGATTACCTACGGGTGCGCACACAAGGTTAGAACCCGGCCAAACCGGCAATTGAGCGAGAGCAATAGAGAATACGAACAGTAAGAAAAGACCTGAATCATCCGTTTTCTGTCTTGCGAGTACTCGGGTGCGGTAGTCTCAGTATGCATGACACGGGTAGAGTGTGCGGCATGCATCCGTTTTCCTTGATTCTGTTGATGGACGTACTGCGCGGGTATGACCTGAAAGTTAAGGCTATGTACTTATCGGACACTGGTATGTCTTCGAAGAAAGCAGGGAAGCGAGTATAGCCGACGAACGACAGCGGTTACAAGGTTTCTCTGCTTGCAATGAGGCGTTATGTCGCAGACGAAACACTCGCTATGTGAGGCTCTTAGACCAGCTGCAACCTCTTGACATGGGCAAGGCATCGTCAACTGGATTGGCGTTTTGATGGCAGCTAAGGACTGCCTAATCACAAGTAGGGTTACCCTAAGGACACTGGCTGTTTGACCAAGGAGAAAAAGGCAGGATTGAGGAATGATGATTTCACCTTCGTTTGCTGCTGAATGAGACCATCGTAGTACCTGCTACCTGTTTCACCTGTCGACCATTTTGAGCGACAGCTTGGGTCAATCCAGAATGGCTAGAGGCCCGAAGGCATATATTTCTTATGTCAGGAAGAGTGGGGAATCGCTTGTTCTAATGCAATAGCTTTCATCAGTGCGTTAGCTAAAACGCCGGGGTTACTGTGGTAAATTGTATTGATATTTCTAGGAGATTGAGGGCATCTCTGCTGCAAGGAGACTTCCTCAAGAGTTGCGACCCCCTGTTTTGATAGACAGGAAGTAAGAGTATTTCGCTTATAGTCTCGAGACAAACTTGACAGGCACAATTTGAACAGCACTGTTCCATTGTTCTCCCTAACGGCCATGTTGTACGGGTTCTTTCTATCGCCGTGGAATTTTGTCAGGGACTATTAGGGAATTCAGGGGTCCTATGTGAAAAGGTTTTCGCATTTAACACAAACACACACCTGTATATTCGCATTGGAATGCAAGATCGCCAAGGACGGCTAGCCTAGAAGAACAATTGGTTGGCTATCGTTCACATTCCGGTAAGGGCCGACAACACATTCCTAGTATTCTCGAAAATTTCGCCCCTTTTTCTCTGCACCCAAATTCACATTCCGGGCTATTCACCCACTGTGGCCGATCTACGGTGTATTCGCATTTTATCGAAAGCCCCGCGGCTCTGTAGTTGCAGTTGGCATAACACCATAGCAGGCTATTATTTTTTGCCGATCAGAATTACTGTCAACCGCATCTTCTCGGCACCTCGAATGGAACCAACCAGGAAGCTTTTATCCCTCACCACTTTAAACCGTCATGCCAGTAGCTTGATCTTGACGGCTCAGCCGGGGCCTTCCTTCATGGAACCCAAGTCTCTCTAAGAATGGCCCAACCCGCAACTTCAAGGACGGATATAAATAACTCGTAACTGGAATTCCCTTCAATACGCAAAGGTCCGAAAGGCAGACACAAAGCCTCTTAAGATGCTTCCCTTTGCCGTTAACACAATAAAAAGTCGAGCTTGACTCTTTATTCGCTCATAAATCGAAGCCAGCATCTTCAAGCCGGTCACAATGAAAAATGGCTTGGGCTCTTCCTGGACGCTCCTCTCCAACTATCTCTCTCTGGCCGCTGCAGTGACATGTTATACACCGGATGGGACTCTTGTCGTCAACTCTTTATATCAGCTGTGTATTCCCATTTCGGACATCCATTCAATGTGCTGTAGGCTGAACGGCACGATCCGGATACGTGAGACCCAACGGGGTTTTGCCTGACAAGTGGCGGGGAATATTATCAGGAATTCTGCACCGATCAATTCTGGAACTCGAAATAAGTTTACCTAAACTTATCTGTGGTGATCAGGTTTCTCCTATCGCTGCGTAAAAATCGACGATATCAGTACTGATGATGTTGGCAGAATAGCGGCAATTCAGACTGGACCTACTAACTGACGTCTTGTGGAGAGGAACTCTGGTGCCGTGGTAGCTCCACCTTCTGCTGCAATACGCACGAAATATCTAGCTTAGGTCCGACACCGGTCGGTACTGATCCAAATTCCAGTGTAACCGCTACCGCTGCTCCTACGACAACAGTAACTGCCATCCCGACAGAAGATAGCAGCAAGAATAAGGACGAGTCCGAGAGACTGACGAAGGTTGCGATTGGAGTCGCGGTGGGTGTCCCGTTGGCATGCATAGCTGTGGGTATGTATGGTGCTGGATATCTCTTGGGCAGAAGAAGTACGCAGAAGATCCTGTCGCCAGCGAAGTTTGAACCCCGTGCTATGAGTATTCCGCTGAAGAAACCGAAAGGGGAGATAGGGCGTCCGCGTCGGTCTGACGACGCTGCCAGTATGTAAAGTGCTTCGAATCTGTTGGGAACGGATGAATAACGGCAGTAGAGAAGGCGATGAGAAGAAGCGTCTGGCATACGTCGGCTGTCTTTATGTAACTGCACGTTGGCCGGTGTTGATATCGCTGGCTATGCCTGCTAATTGCTGGCATGTGGTTATTGAAAGCTTATATTATACACTTTGTAGTAAGGAAGCCCCGCTTGTTCGACATGTGAATCGTCGATAAGTGCCATGTTCCGCGGAGCCTATGAATGCACGGTAATATGAGATGTGGTTATGTCTTGTGCCAAGAAACCTCTCAGTATTGCGTTCTTCGCGCCTTATCGCAAAAGTCTGCTGCTCGCTGTAACGATACTTGTCAGGGTCATATACCACATGGGTTTCATGATCGGACAGGGTACATTGCAATAATCAGATCCTCTTAGAACGATTGTCCAACCCAGGTTATCCTCGAAGTAGACGAATAGTAAGTGAATGAAACAAATCAATACAAACTCCGCATACTCACCTCAACAGACCGGATGCTAGCACCTATCGAGGCGGATATGCTCCACATACCTACAGATTACCTTGGGACGAAAGCGATCCTGAACCTGACAGCAGGACATTCCGAGCTGAACCTCCAGCAGGAACATCCGGATTCAAGCTAATAGAGACGTATATCATCTCATCCATGATGCGACGAGTGGTTCGGACAATTGACAGCATTTAAAAGACCGGCTGGCCTCTCACTGGCGTTTCGGTTTGCACAGTTACCCCCATAGTCCCGACAGGATGGCTGATTTCCAAGGTATCCAGTTCCGCCGCCTTGCCAACGTTCTTATTCACGACGCTGTCGGCAACGCGACGAGAGGTAGTGGTGCAGAGAGCCCCCTGTCAATTTGTATACTCGGCGGGTCACCGTGGGCTCAACAGCGGAAGGGGATGGCTTGTTACATAGTGCAAAGTGAGGCCAACTTCAGATTATGTCCGCCAATGTCGGGATGTCGTCACCGACCAATTGCCATGCGAAAGACCTCAGCTTCCGGATATTCCTCGCCTAGACTGCATGGGAGCCTCAGGGGCTTGTGCCCTTCTGCGTACCGAATGGTACCAAAACCGCATGTTTGAACTAGAGAATACCTAATCCTCCGGACAGTACTGGAGAGTCCACTTTGGGACCTTAAACAACGAATATTGTAGTCTTACAATCGCGCTCGCAACTTCGGAGAAATGGCCCAGAACAATCCTTACCTCCAACCAGTGAAGCAATGTTTTGAGAAATAAAATCTCCTTGGCCAACTGACTAACCAGATCAAGAGACTGACTCAAACTTTATACGCGATATCGGTAAGCGTATTGTAACCAAGCGTTAGGTGATGCTCAGCGGCCAGTAGCTGACGATTCTAGATACTCAGTGCTGCGTTGTTGGCTGTTCTCCTCGTCCGGATTGCAGACAAAGGCATGGTTTCGTGGGAAATTTACAGCTGGCCGCTTATCCAGACGAACGCGTGGGAGCACCGATCCGGATCCAGCACAACTAAATGTACTCTGCGAGGAAGCGTCAGGAGGTTGGGGCTGGGTTTATGCGGACACACTCAGGAGAAGGAATAGCGCGAGTCTTCCTCCACTAGCACCTTTCGGGGGCCCTCATGTGTCGGGTTGGAAATTTATAATTAGTTGGTTAAGTCGCGAATCTCTTTCCTATAACCGGACGTGTAAAGCCATGCTCATGCTCCGTCTGCTTGTAAGCAGACGATAGTGTAAATTGTGCGTCCAGGGCCGTTGCCAAGCGCAATCGGTTCCCCGTAGACTAGCCCGGTGCGCTATACGTATTGATGAGCTACCCCAGCATTACCCGGCCAACCTGCCAAAGCAGGTGGCAATTCTCCGTTTCAGACGTGCCCTTAGCCAGCTTTTAGCGAGAATCAATGTGCACTAATTCAACTATCTGTACCGCCAGTATTGATCGGTATACCTGAACGCGCGCATTCTCTTAAGAAAGTAGATTACTACGGTAGTCTAATTAGAACTGCAAAAGTCGCGTGAAATTATGAGGGCCAGGTACAATATCAAGATCGTCACCGAATGTATCCCATCCATCCTCCTGAGTAGACCATATATCCGGAGCCGCTGTCGTTGCCGGTAGAGCAGTTGTCTAGGCGGCCGGATCCACACTTTCTGGTAGACCAGCAGGGCTCCAAAGCCACTAGTGCCAACAAACAACGGTATACTGCATTCAAGCACCATTTTTTGAGCCGCCCGTCTCTCAGAAAGCTGTTGCCTCCACCGATTCTGGTCGTTCAACAGTTTCTGCTTCTCACTTTCAACGCCTCGAAGGCGCTCCGACTGGCCTCTTTGTCTCTCCAACGCTTCATTCTCCCGCTCCAACGTTTTGACTGTAGCCAAACATGCCTCGTTGTTCTCCAGCGATGAGGTAGAAGGAATACCTCGTGAATCAGAATCAGATACCTGCGATAGCCGGCGGGTGAGTGAAGTCAGCCGAACGACCAGGGGCCGGCGACCGTTGCGTGAAGTCTTACCCTGGATGGGCGTCGGTGGGAGCGCGCAGGCTGCTGGGGAGGCCTTGCGGTACGGGCTTCTGTCATAGGATAGATCGTGAGTCGGAAGCGCTATCGTGACTCGAGGTCTTCCGGATGCTTGCGCGGGCGCCGGATGGATTCTGAGCAAAGCCATTAGCCAAAGGGAGTTGGTGATAACTGACCATTGGTCCATTTTGCCTACATGAGCCGGTGTTACTACGGTTGACCACGCGAGACAATAATGGTCGAGGTCGGCGACAACCTGAGAGCACAGTCAACTCATGATCAGAATTGACCGTCTAAGCCCCAGCCGAACGTGAGAGCCGCAGCAGGTATATGGTCATGGTGCATTGCTTTATTGAAAGTTCGCGGGACTACCCTAGTAAAAGCATGCTTCGTGTGGCGATCAAAGTAGTCTTATGTGTTGACGACCTTTGGTGCAGGGACGAGCAGGATGAGACGCACGAGCTCGCAGTACCGCATACCAGATACTGGGATGCCGTCTCAGTCCTTATATGCACCCTCCACGATCAATCTGCTGTGGCGGTTATTATACAGTAGTAGTAGTAGTTGTTGTTGTTGATTCATACGCTGACCCCTCGCCTGAGCGACATGCAGGGTACTACTACCTCCACGCTCTATGTACATCCATTCATCGTAGACTATTACTTTCCTGACGAACTTGGAGCCTCGTCAAGGCCTGTGGTGGCCAGTGCCTGAGGTTGTGTTGTGCCGCCCTCGTGGCGCGCGACTTCGGAATCTCTGCGATGCCTCCGCAAAGTCCAGGACCGCCCCGAGGACGCTACTGTCTTGCGGACCATCTTGGGACCTACCCTCCCTACCTTGTCC